ACTCACCGCATCTTCGAATTTTGATTTCAGTTGAAGATAAGCAAGTGAGCCTGGATACGCTAGCTCGTCAACCCAAACCAGAGATGGGATATCAATCGCTATTCGGTACGTTATAATACCTGGTGGAACGGTAACTCACTGTTACTATGATACTGCATAACTACATTAAGTCCTTTTCTGACTAAATATCGGTTTTTTCTTACCTTCAAGTGGTTTTTTRCTTATAAACTGATGCTTTTTACTACAGGGRAGGTCTGTCATTGTACCATATCGATAGAAGCTGTTTCGGACACTTATTGCTACACAATCGTTGCCTTTYCCTTGTGGTCTTCCAGCTGTCCAGTCAACAAAGTCGATCGGTGATCCATCAATGTAAGTGTAATCTCCTTCAGATGCTCTAATAATTTAATAATAATAATAACTTATGTTAATAAGGAGAATTGCGGGATATTGATATCTGACAACGCGATGCTACGACGCGATGCTGTTACTAATATGAAAACGCAATATCTTGTCAAAGTTCATTTWCTGAACTGTTTTGTTAGAATAATTACGTTTTCACAATGAGTAAATATTTCACGTGACAAAACAGTGCAATTTCTCAGAAAGATATTATTGCGTCTGACGTAATKCATATTTTCAATGGGTTGTGTGTGGTATTAGGGCGTGTACCTATCGTTTAAGCCGATCCATGCCGGTCCGTCTCTATTAGCCACAGGAGCCATTCCCAGGAAGTCCACTTCCAATAATGACCTCAATGATAGAAGAGTTGCATTCTCGGCGATACTTTTCTTGAATGCATCATCCCACGTGACCTTTTCTGTATTGTATTTGTAACATGATCCTTGGTACTCTAAATATCCGTTTGGACAAGGCGCTAAAACAGAGAATAACCAGTTTTTCATGAGTTTTTCTTCTATAGTTTGATTGATTTAAAAAATATACTCGTTAGTCTTAGTTTACCGAAAGAATCTTTGGTTGTATATGGGTATTTTGCCTATTGAGTTCGGTGCTTGAATGTAATAAATAATTATACCTCCTGTGAAATACGTAAGTCATGCCTGTGGGGGAGGGGGTAAGATTGGTTGCAGGCATTTTTAGGTACCTTTAGCTATTTTGGATTAATTGATTWCCAGCTGTAACTTACCTCCATAAACCATCAAATGCACATCTGAAATATAGAAAAAAATAATTTTTAATACACAAAATAATGAAAAAAAAAACCAGTTAAAGCGAAACATTTCCAACATAGACCTTTTCTGAAATACAAAATCATGATGCATTGTGGTCTAGCTTCAGTACAAACAACGCCATATTTGGCAGCACGAACAAAAGGTGTTTGTACCGAATCTAGACCACAATGCAATGCAAACTGCTATCTCAGAAAAGACCTATGGTAGGCATGAATATAAAGAGGCACTTGGCCTTGTGGGATTGACTCGCTGACCATATATATCACCATATGCGTACTATAGCAGTCCATACCTGTATATCCAGGGACGTTTTCCTTCATTTCGTCCTTTTTGTTCCCTGGGACATCATAATACACAACGACAAAGTACCGTCCGCTTTGTCCCCGTACAATACCAACTCCTACATACAAACTGTCTTTCCAGATCATCTGTACGAATTTCATGCTCTTTATGCTAATACTTCGTTGATGCCAGTCATAATACTTGACTGTCTCGTACCATTCCAGTACACAACTTTTTGCCAGAGTTTTACGGCTGCTACGACTCAAACATATGGTGTTTCCATATTGAGAAGTTGCGTCTTTCTGTGCTGTACCTAGGGAACTGATTTTTAAGGCCCATTTTTGTGCCTTAGAGCTGATTTCGTCTGAGAKGATCACTGGGCCAACGCCATGGAGCTTTCGGAAAGTATTGATGTATTCGATGATTTCAGCAACGGTGTCTGGAATTGTTTTGGTTTACACGTTATATTAGTAGTGCATTTGATTGTGGCTCAAAAAGTTGATGCCTTTGATAAACTAATGTTTTTATTGTCTCTAGCAAACGCAACGTTATATTTTTTTGCTATGTGTACCATTTACATATTTTCGCAAATTATCRGTACTAAGAGTTTCAAAAAAGATATAATTCTTCTTACCTGGTTTCTGTGCTGGATTTCCTGGAATTCCTGGTGCACTCGTTGTTGGCACTGTAGCAAAAGTAATTCGTATTTAATATCTTTACCTAACGGCCTACAATTCTAGATTCGGAGCCAATTTTAAGCAATTTTTAGAAGGTTTTACATATAGTCACCTGGRGTAGAGGGACGTCGCGCTGGTGTTGGTTGAGGTTTGGGTGGTGTTGGCCTTGGTGGTGTTGGCTGTGGTCGATTAGTTGGTCGATTTGTTGGTCGCATTGTTGGTCTACCATAAAAGTCTTTTCGTGTAAACAAAGAAGTTGTAGAATAAGCTATAGACTAGGCTACTATCTATTCTCTCATCAAAAGTTTTGTTTAGACCGACAGCGTTTTCTCATTAAGGTGTATTGCCCTGTGCCGTAACTATTATTATCACTGTTATCAACATGTATTGTTCTTACTTTCACATAACTTCCCATAGAATCCTCTTCTACATCGGCATCTRAACCCGTTACGATTACTTGGTGTTTGTATACAACTGCCTCCATTTTGACAGGGTCTRTTTCGACAAGGRTCAATTGGTTCTATAAAATAAAATAGCTTAGTATAAAATCATTATTAACTCTCTATTGTTAGAATCTAGTTGTGTCTATACTCTCGTTGATACCAGAGGTTACTTAAATGTGTGGGTTTTTTTGAAAAAAAAAAAACATGTGCATGTTCATTCATTCGATGGTAGTTTGACTTTTCATTTTTCAACCATTTTTAAATTTAATTCATTATTTCATTCATTCATTTCGTCTTCCACCCATTCAGTCTCATTTAGTCCAGTAGAAAGATATACGTACGAATAGGTGCGTTACATCTTCTCTTAACGGCCTTGATTTGATCAGCATCCAAGGCTGTGCCATAAATTTGTAAACACGTGATTCTTCCTCTAAAATGTCTCCGCAAACCTCTAACGGAWCCGATGCGAATTGGGTATTGAGTACCGAGATTGATTCGTCCCACCAGTTTTCGGCTAACCTAAAGTTTAAAAACCATCATCAGTCAATCATGTTACATAAATATCATTATAATGGCCCTCTAATTAGCGGTCAGACATCATTAAGCGACCACTTATCATTGTAATCATAACACAGTCAAACCTCTATAAACGGCCCTCTAATTAGCGGTCACCCAGCATTAATCGACCACTTATCATTATAGCACAGYCAAACCTYTATAAACRGCCCTCTAATTAGCGGTCAMCCAGCAYTAAGCGAYCACATGTCCTGATTATTGTACTCACACGTTTGTTRTCGATCCAAAGCGCTCCATAACCGGTATCCTGATCGTAGGTCATTCCAATATACAGCCATTTTCTTGGTACTATTCTTCTATATACCAGGCGACGGCTGAAGTATCCCAATCGTCCAATGAAATTAGCGGATATGGTATTTCTCCCATAGTAATACAAACCAACACCATAGCCGTTAACTCTGTAGTTCACGATAGGACCTCCATAGTGCGTTARATATACCCAAACAAATATCGATAGAGAATGCTTTGTGTCTAGTTTGCCTCCACTGCGATTCGGGATCTCAACATAACTGGAACTTCGACCGAGGTATAATGCCCCGCCAGGTCTGCCAAGCGGTCCAGTGSTCTGCCAAATATGATGGAATGATGCTCTTGGGGAGCCATTTTCGCTGACATCTTGTCCACGAGTTTGTGCGTTAAGTGGATAGATACCATATGCCGGTGGAATGGCTAAGGAAAAACAAGCAAATATCAGTCATGTAAAAAATGACTAGAATTACATAATAATACAGTAAACACCCGAAAATAAGAACCTAATGGATTAAGAACCTCTTGGCAGAAATTTGACATTTTAATAACCCCTTAAATAAGAACCTCTTTAGCCAAATATGATCTAACAGGTTCTTATAATATGGGTTAGAGCTAAATTACAGGATAAATAAACAATAAGTTACTGAGTTGATTGCGTACAAATACTGTAGTACTGAATTTAATTACAGTTGTTAAGTTGATTATTTACTTGATACAGTAGTTGCAAGATACAGTTATACATAATTTTATAGTATTATATGATTTTAGTTCGTATCAAGCTTATTTATTATACTTATGATATATATGCAAAATAGCAATTAAGAACCTAATTAAGAACCTGCTTTGCCAAAATTACCAACAACTACCCCTAAAACAAGAACCTTTTTCGCCAGACTTTCAAAAAACAAGGTTCTTATTTTAAGGTGTTTACTGTAGCAATGATGCCGCTGATTATTATTATGATGGTGATGACAATAATGATGACATATTTTTGTACTAACCATCAGCACACAGCTTGGATGTTATGCGGTACACGTGTCGTCTCAGCGAGTTGTAGGTCCTCGCCCTCATGACATCTTGTGGCTTTTCGACAAGCAACCTTAACTGTTTTGGATCSGAATTTCTAAAAATAATTAGAAGCACGCAATTATAACTCTCACGTTTCTTATGCGTTTAAGAAATATGCAATGATTTATGATCATTGTCGAACTTGCTTGCAATCTCCTCTTTACATCAATAATTTGGCGGTTATTTTGATTGTTTGATAGCCTAAATTAACTTCTTCATCTTACACATAACAATACATCTTCACTCGTTAAACTCTAGTTATCTCTATTRGATTGATTGATTGGTTGCTTACTGGTCTGTGTGACCAAATAATTAATTCATATTTTAATCTATTAAAATAGATTACCTCCCAATTCCTATTGCATAWGTCTTCACTTTCATCCTTTTCAGGGGGGACATCATTCTACCAAGATCAGGAATCTCTCCTCTAACTGATGTTTGCTGTCCATCTGTAAGTAACATAAGTATCTTGGGAATGCCTTGTCTACCTCCTTTCGATGGATGAAATATCTCCTTAGCTTTCTTTAGAGCCAAGTCAATCCTTGTATTCCCTCTCTCGAATGGTATACGGCTAACAGCTCTAGCGTGTTCAAGCCAGGTATTTTTCTCGTTCAATCCTATTTTGATGGACGCGCTGTTGCTGTACACTATGACACCRGCGTGCGTACCRCGTGGTGARATTTTGAACTTTTTTGTAAGAAGTTGAACGAACCGCTTTTGTTCAAGGTACTCCGTTGAACTCATGCTCCCCGACGAGTCCATGGCGAACACTAGGTCTACTTTTCTGTTGCATTCTTGAGCTGTATTTAAGTGGGAATATTTTAAGATATTAGCAATTTCATGTCAATTGTCATGTTAGAATAATGAAGTGTCAGTATTATATGTATAAGATATTTATATTTCAAAAAAAGTTGAATACTGAATGCTCTTCATAGCGCTTTCCTAAACCGAAATGCATTGTTGAATTTGGATTACACGTAAAGGAATTAAATTTTAAACTAAATTGCTTTCCACTAAGGAACAGAGATGACATAGTCACTCTTAAACACTTTCAACACGACAGCAATCAATGCATTTCGGTATTGCAATACGCTATCTTCCTTACTGAACGTTTTTGAAATAGCTGTATAGCTTATAAATAGTTGTTTTAAGGGTGTGGCCGTGATTATAATACAGGTTCTATTGTTTTTTTTTAATTGTTTTTGTATATTTTAAGTATATACCTTCAGAATAGCAGACAACGCCTAATAGTAGCATCCCTACTACCAGTAACAGCTTCATGGCTACAGCTGTTTATAGGCTGAAATATAGGGTATATGTAATGTCAATATCAATTTAATAGTTGTATTCCTCTATAATCCCTATCATCGTTATATAATTATAACACTTGATATTAATATTAATTCATCATACTGTTTGCAAGTCATCATTATCATGTAATTAACATTAGTATTAGTATCTATCACTGTATGATCAACTTTAGTCATTCGAATCATTGTCTTAACTTGATATTTTTCCTCAAACTCTATAACAACTTTGGTCATAATTCTAGGATATTCCTTTATAAATTGTTTACTAGTATAGCCTTACACAGTTAATCCCACAAAAATGGATCCACTGTGGAAGACCCTAAAAATGCAAGTTCTCCAAGGGAGGTCAAATAATTGTACATTTTTAATGCGGTTAAAGCCTGATAATCGTATAAAAGATCCTACACGATCTATGTTAATACTATAAGCTTAAGGGAAGCTCCATGTAACAGATAGGGCCAAAACGGTCGTACAATATCATTTGAGATTGTATCGATTTGTCGTATGCTCGCAAGCACTCACTAAAGATGAGTTACGATTACACTACAGCCAGACTTTGCTACAAACAATATCATTCTCTAAGTGTAGAAAATATAGGGTTTTAATTTGTACATTTAATACTTGTTCGAAAGACCCCTTCTGAGGTTCTTCTTCATAGTTCTATTGTTATGACAAATGCATCGTCCATTTAATATAATGTCTAAATTTCTCCTGTCTTATCGAGTTATTTTCTTCCCTTTTTGTTTCGTTCCGAAATTGTCTTATTGGTTTTGAAATATGATTTTTTTTTATAATGAAATACCTTAATGATGATATCATGGCATGTAACTCAAARCCAATGAAGTTCACCTTATTTGGCGAGTGACCTCTAGACCTRGTGAACAATTTTGTCATTGACCCTAACCTCGGTCATTTTGTGAAATCTTACCGTTTTTGATCAGCTYCAAAACCACTTTCCTCACACYTAAATGTTACTACCGCGACCAACAAAAACCTTTTGAGACAAAGAACTAATACTTTATTTACATTTTGACCATTCAGTCGATCATTTGACCTGTATTCCACACGCTGTTTTGGAAAAACAAATTTTGTTGTTGATGGTCTTTTGGGCTGCCTATGCTGCCACAGGCGTACTGTTACCTGAATACCACATGCTATATTTTCTTTTGAAGTTTGTAAATAAACGTAAAYTTTTATTAAAACCGTGTTTTCTTCATGTAATTACTCGCTTCGATAAACTAAAATAGAAATTCATTTAACAACATTTAGTGTTAATCAAAAAAATAATTGAACATTAGGTATAGTAAAATATAAACCTTACGGACCTTAAAATATAGGTTTGATTTTAAATCTGAGGACAAACAGATGCTATTACTTTTAGTTATTAGTGTAATATGTCATGTTATGATCTCTCAGMCCATTCAAGGATTCTCGTAAATTCTTCGTTAGTATTCGAGGTTCGTCGTACAGTGTTCGGCTCAGCGAATATCCCTCAAAGAGAAAACTATTTTGGACCAATTAATCGAACTGTCTGCTTATATTCATACATAAAAGCTCAGACTCTTCATTGCCTAAAAACYTATTTCAATGTGAAGAAACCTCGCTAGTTAACACAAGGGGTGGACCATCTGTTGTCTAGGGGTGTGTTAGTTTYTCCCCAATTATTGGAATACATTGGAAATCCCAGAAATTTGATGTTTTCCAAGTGTGATTGTATGCGTCTCGCACCAATTTATTTYGAAGGTTTTTGTTAAGGGCTTCGCTTCAATGGATGGTTGTTCCAATTTTTTCTCTTTACAGTTTATTTTGTTTTCATGTTCTGTTTTCTAATGCTTGAATAACATAAACGGACTTTTCATTGATAAAAAMGTCCCCCAGTGTTTAGAATACACTTTCCTTTTATTACTATGATTTACTCATATTCATTTTCTCCTTGTTGTTTTCATTCATTTTTYCTTTTCTAAAATCCATGTTATGTTTCGGTTGGTTTTCTTTTAAGAAAATATTTCTGGAAATACTTGAGCTACGTACTTCTTGGTTTGCACATGACGCTCCAGACGCCATATTGGTGCAAACTAAACCAAAACATTCCCATAACTCGTATTGTAAGTACACCAACATGGCCGTCACATATTTGTTCTTTATTTCACGTAGATTTTAAGCCATGTGATTGTTGTAAACCAAGATTATGATCTATTCCATGCTTTTAAATACCACGCGAATATCTTGTTTAAATTTGWGTTTATTTGGTTTAAATACAAAATAAATTACTAAGAAAGTTTAATATGAGGTATACATTAGGTTTCAAATTGTGATTACACTATGATTTTAGTTATCTGATGTACTTTAGTTTAAGTTTTCTTATGCTAATGCTATTCAGTGTTACTGCAAGCAATTTTGACAAGAATATCCGTCATCTTAGGATCCGCCATCTTRGACCGCYATCTTGGATTWTTTWAAATCCCATTAAAMAACTAAGCATTGAGGCAAATATGTTAGAATATGAGTCTAATTCTGTTTTTCATTCATAACCTAATGACHGAACTAAGCATGTTATCATACCCTAGCATTGGTTAATACCTACATCAATAACTTGTCTACATCATTTCTAGTTTTATAAGATTGATAAGACTGCCATATATATAATTTTGTTAACAAGGTTGTTATTGTTAATTATAAGTATTGTCCAAGTGTTGATAGATACTGATAAGGACCTGAAGAGCATGCGCGTCTTCTACAAAAACTTGTACCTTTTACGTGCCGCCGCTGAGTCCTCTGTCATTGACATATCTTTAGTTGTATTTCCCATACTATTTTCATGTTTTAGATTACCAGTATCTTTCAGCATCTTTTGGTGGTTATGTTCGTGGTCGATGTCTTGGTTGTTTGGGTTGTTGCTTTCAATATCATCATTCATTATATGATCATCATCATCATGAGTCATGTCTGGTGTGTTGGTGCCATTTATTGGTGTGTTGGTGTCCTGTGAGGTCGATGCATTGATTGGTGCAAAGTTCACTGGGGAGTTATCGATCGCTGTGACATTTTGAAGATCGTCAATCATGTCATTTTGTGTTGAATTGATATTTGTATTATCGAGATCTGAAGTAGTAGTATTGATTTTTACAGTTTCTTTGGCTTGGCTTTTTATACCTTCATTTCCATGTTTGCCTTTTTTGTAATTATCAACTCCAATGTGACCATTGGTTTCATTGTAATATTGATTTTCATGAAGTTCTGTGTCATTCGTTCCAGTGTGCTCAGATTTGTCGATTCTACTGGGTTCATTGTAAGTGCTTCCATCTCCAGTGATACTAGTATTAGCCGACGATCCAATGTATGTATTATTCATCTTTTCATAATAGTCAGTGCTTGTGTTAGTTGATGGACCTTTATAACTGTCTGGTCCAGAGGAGCTTGGCTTGGTTGTGTATGTTTCATTCGTTTTTGGACCATTGTAAGACTCAGTTGAACTTGTTGAATGATTTTCGTTCGAAGATGTTGAAATGTCTGGTCCAGCGTTCCTTGACTTGGTTGTGTATGTTTCATTCGTTTTTGGACCATTGTAAGATTCAGTTGAACTTGATGAATGGTTTTCGTTCGATGTTTCACTCTGTGGTCCATTGTAAGAGTGATCAGTGCTTGGCTTATTGTAAGAGTCACCAGTGCTTGGCTTATTGTCAGAGTCACCAGTGCTTGGCACATTGTAAGAGTGATCAGCGCTTGGCACATTGTAAGAGTGATCAGTGCTTGGTCTATTGTAAGAATCGCCAGTGCTTGGCTTATTATATTCGTTTTTAAAAGAATACTTCTTGTAATCAGGCTCTTTTTCTCTCTCGTGGTTGTAATAGCTCAGGTTGAGGGCTTGTACACTCTGATGATTGTTTGAGATCACAAAACTACTTGGCGTGCTGTGGCTACTAATTTTTTTACCATGAAGTCCATTAGATGATCCGCTGTAACTTTGATGGTTGCTTGATTTAGCTTTCGGTTCATTATACACATTCTTAGTAGAATGCTCATTATGATCTTTGTTTAATTTCTCTCTCTCATGCTTAGGATAACTCATTCTTGTAGCTGGCACACTTTTAGGAAGGTCAAGATCTCGAGATCCTTGAATAGCAAGATCAAGCGGCTGTATATCATTATCAAAGTTGTCCAATTCCTTGTCATCTTCATTTTTCAGGTCAGGAGATATGCCGTTCTTGTCCAGAATAATACCATTCAAATCATTTTCCATATCTTTGAGCTGTCTTTCAAAATTCGGCAGTGCGTTTTCCTCCCCAGATTGTTTGTCAACTTTTTCCATATCCTTTTCAAGTAAGTCATCTGGGATATTTTGTTGATGTTTAACCTTAGCTTTCAGTTTCGCAATATTCTTTTGAAGAAGTTTCATGGCGACCTTTGCTTGTGGACCAGACAATGGCGATACGTTACTCTGATCATTGGACATGGCGGCGTTTTTGCCGTACTTAACCATAGCTTTAAATTTCTTGATCTGTGATTTCATGTTGTCTACTCTTTTCTTCAAGGAATGTCCCTTACAGCATTTTTTATCGCAGAACGTATAGCACAAGGGTGATGAGTATTGATAGTGACACGTATTGCATTGTGGGTTATAAGGCTGATATGATGAATAYCCTCCCAGGTGGTTAGTCGATGGGTTTGTAGGAGGAACAGGACGTGTCCCAGTATGCACTACGGCAGTAGCTACAGGTTTTCGAGTGGTTGGTTGCTTGGTTGGTGGTACAGCTGTAGACGTTGCYTGATGATTACAGCAGTAATGATGGCAGTATGATGGACAAGTAYTGTAAGTATATTGTCCACACGATGAAGGGCAGTGATGRTATCCATGGTGATGGTATCCATGGTGATGGTATCCATKGTATGTTGTTGTATATCCATGATGGTATCCGGTATTTGTATGTCCGGCGTGTTGATATACGGTATTGTAAGTCCCTGTATTATACCCGTGGTGGTTATAATATTGATGGCAATAATGGTGTCCAGATCGCTTGCAAGGGAATGAGCACTGGGTCCTTGCGACTAGAGAAACAATGAAGGAAAGTTGTTAATTTTCTACCTAATAATTAAATAAAGAAAAGCCGTTACTTACTTGCTGACAGATGTACATCTAAAAACAAACCAAAGGATGAAAACAATTAGTAATCGTGCGTGATCAAACATTCCATTAGTAGCAATAAGACCAGATTCAATTAGTAAAGATCAAAGGTTCCATTCGTAATTATAAACGATAAAAAGATTCCATTTGATGATCAAACACTCCATTGGTAACAGTAAGATCAGATCAGTAAGTTAAGATCAARAGTTCCATTAGTAATGATAAAATAAGAGATAAAATTTGATGATCAAACATTCCATAAAGATCAATTACAAGCATCTGTCTTCTAATTGTTCCATTGTTTACCTGGACTATCTACAGAAATGCTGATGAGACGCTCCGATGGTCTTAAAAATTTCTGAAATTTCAGGGTGGGATCAGCCACTTTAGCTCGAAACTCCATTGACAGAGTAACTGCAATACCACGTTTCCTGTGATACAAATATAGTATGGATAAATATATAAGAAATTGTTGATGCTATACATCTTTCTTTTATAATCATGCCTATGAATGGAATACGGTTCAGTTTTATAAACTTACTGTCCTTTTATGCTCAGTGGTCTAAAAACAAAAGAAAACTGAATATTAGACGCATTGCCTAAATATATCGTGTCAAGACATACATGTATATTGTAAGTGGAAATACAAATATGGAATATAATGTGTATTATAGTTAACACTCACCGTACAGATTTTATTTTAATTGACCGCAGTCCTCCTCCAATACGACCAGACGAACGTTGAAATACTTCATTGAACTATAGAAAACAATAAAATCAGTTAAAATCAGTTAGCGATCTTACAACAAATGCGCGCAACAATAAATCAGTTTAAAACCTTATTTTGTCTGCGGCGAGACCTCAAAATGATTCGTTTTGATGAATAGTCAGGTAGCGAAATTTGATCTTTTTATTGCTTTTTATTGACTTACTTACCGTCACTTGGATCCCTCTTCTCAAATCTCGGAAGGCTTTGGAGTTTTTGTTCCTAAAGTTCGGGTTCCATCGAAATTTCTTGAATAATATCTCTGTTCTGTACGTCATTTTTCCTGAGAATGATTGACAAGTCCAGATGATTGACATATAAWAAAACCTTGATAATCCAGTTAAATCTCTATTTACTGAAGTCATTTGAATGCAGATAAATATTATTAATTATTGAYAATRATAATTATTGTTAATTATTTTTACCATCAACGGGCATCCTACACATGAACGAATTGCGATCAGAACATTTTTTGTCAGACCAACAGCTGATTGGCTTGTCCGTTGTCCAGGCAACGCAATTTTCAGCAGCTCCTCCATTGGCACTAACAGGAGCACAGACCCCGCTAGCAAACTCTAAGCCATCAAGCCATGCAAAGTTACCTTCGTCGGTACGGTCATGWAGGCCTAGAAAATCACYAAGTTATTGAGAAAGAAGTRCACTATATGCCTAATGATATTGTGCAGTTTTAGTATGATATACATGCGTTGTGTGTATTTGTATTAACCAACAATCCCTGCTTTCAACGAGCAATTCTTACCAATCCACATCCATCCTTTTCCCTTTCCTTTTTCTTGGAGACTTCTYAGGAACTTTTCCTCTTTTTGATTTCTAACTGAAGTTAGAGTAGCATTCTCGTTTGCACATATTGTGAAGGCGTGCTCCCAGCTGACCTTCTCAGRATGGAACTTGAAGCAGGATGACCCGAAACGAGTGTAGCCTGGGGCACACTTTGCTGTCATGATAAAGATTACCATATTGTTATTGTTATCAGCATCATGATTATTATTATCATTAATGGCATCATTAGAGTGGAATCATTATACTTAATTCCTSCTCCATCTACAAGACACAGCAAAAGATTTTTTTCTTCTTTCTTGKGGACGAAAAATATTTATTTAATTTCCTATAAAACTACCACTCGATGATTTGCTGATTGTTGCACTTATTGCTGTTGCAATTTAAACTCAATTATTTTGCTTTTGCGAAGCTGTATGGARCTGTTACTAACCTTTGTCGCTGGCCTTTGTTACAACTAGAATAGGGAAGCATTTTTCGATTAGTAAACAAACCAGGAAGCAAACAAATACAAAACACTAGGTGACTTAACCAAGCCTTTTTAAATTCTATTTTTATCCTGTCATCAAGTCAGTGCAGTTTTCTAATTTTGATATCTTTATAATTTGGAACGTCTTTTTAGAACTTCTGTAGCTGCTATTTTATCCAAATCATTGTAAGATTTGTTTTTTTCTTACTTTTGATTGGATGGACGTTTCCTTTAACGTCTGATCCCTTCTTTGGCGAGAAGTAAGTCACAACATAGTACTTCCCATTACCACCCTTTGATATTCCAGTACCAGCCCTGGCCGTGGTATTCCAGATCATATTAACAAATGGTCGTGATTTCCCATTGGCTGTTGGATTACACCAGCTATGGTCACGCATTGTCGTGTACCAGGCTACTGTACAGGTCTTCGCAAGCTTGCTAAACTGACCAGTGAATTCACAGTGATTGACACTGAAACTGAAAAAGATACATTTATGATGGAATACAGCTCGTTCAAAAAGAAACGTTGGATTATATGTATTGGAGACTATTGAGAGTCGCTGTGGGTAACACATTTTTTGATAGTTAATATTCTCTAATGATGAAAAACCAGGACAAACAATCCATGATCGCCGATCGAAGCGCATTCAATGGAGACGACAGTTGTGRCTATTTTGAACGGAATTGCAATGTAAATCAATACCCTTTGAATAGAATAATCGTACAGTATCTTACTGTGGGTTATATATGCCATTCACGTTGTGGTCTTTAGCAAGTTTATCGGCTGCTTTTTGTGCAAAGGTTGCTGCTGTCGGTGAGCTGATCAGCGGGCCAGCTGAATGAAGACCACGTAGATCGTTCATGAGTGTAAGAATATCTCTCTGAATTGTGGCTGAAATAAATTAGACGTCAGTTTTCAATATTCCTGCATTTAAATGATGATTTCTCAAGTCATTTTTATATCAGAATGGCACGGACTACACCCTTCAAGTCGTACCAGGGGAGGGGTCATGAGGGTTACATGCCCATATCATCATTATATCTATATCATACCTTTGATCGATGTAGCCGACGTTAGTACGACGAGAAATGTAAGAAATAACATKATGTTTCCTTTCAGTTGCTATCACTCTGCAATCTACAAATTGGTGCAKTTTAGTGGCTTTTTTAAGCACTTCAGTGGCTTCCTAGAGCATTTTGATGGCTTCTTAAAGACTTGACTAGCTATTACAATCAAAGCTACTCCGGTACGCTCTCATCTAAATGACCCCTCCATCACCCTTAGAGCCGAGAAATTTCGTATGAATGCAACGGTACGGGTCACGAACACGGCATGGTCACGGAACCTTGGCTGGTGATTCTCAATAAAAATACTGATTCGAGAAAATATCATCGGCACGGTACGGGGCGGTCTCGAAACGAATGTGTCGTCTATTTTTGCGCAGTTGTACGTAATCCGCTATAAGCTCTATCTTCCGTTGACCGTTCAGACCTTTTATTATAAAATGAAAATTTAAGTGTGAAATGCTACACATGATTTAAGTCAATATTGAATTGATTTTGATAACAATCCTTTTTTCTATTTATCTTTAAAACTGTTCTTTTCAAGAGTATTTACCCATTTTCTTGGAAATACGCYGTGAGTACAGCTGAATATTGATTTTAGTGCTGCATCTCTTTGTATTACTATAATTGCGATATTTTTGGTCTAATTCGCTAATTCGTTTCGACAAACTTTGACATTTACGTCATGAAAGTCCCTCCCAATAATTATCACTTAAATACAATGTTACATTATTACACAGTATATACTATAATTTTATATATTTTGCTCCTATTTCACTCGTTTTTATTCAAAAATGACCGAAAAAGTATTTGTTTTCACTTTTATGTTGCCACAAACATATTTAAAATCCTTCATTTTACTGATGTTATTAGCAAAAATCAACTGCACCTTCATTAAATTGTTGGGTTAATATTTTGATGTCCTTTTCCACTTAATCTTCTAACTTACCATTGAAATAGACATCTGAAACCACTTTATTTGGTGCGTCCTATAGATCAAGGGCTAAATCAAAGTTGATGTGAAATGATTAATATTTAATGYGTGAAATTTAACGATGTTTTTGATTTTGTTTTCATGTGGAAAGAAAAACTTTGATTGGAACTGTTATCCAACCAGTTTATTGCTGGTTCACTACATAGTGAACAATCAAAACAAAACATTTCTTTATAGTAATAAGAACAACAAAAACAATAGATTAAAGATTCTATACTCCAGGGAGGTATAGGTTGGTCGAAGAGCTTTTTTCCTTACAATTCTTTAGTAATTTTTCAATTACTATCCTAATGTCGATGACCAAAAACATCAAATAAAATTTAAACAAAAAATCACCTGTATTTTCATGCTGTGAAATTAGACGAGAATAAAAAAATATATTCGCATTTAGGTAACATTGCTATTTCCGAAGATTTTTCAGAAACTTACATTCTCACAGCAAATCAATATCAAGCACATGTGTGCCTAGTGGGAAACCATATGTTGTATTCAAAGGGGTCTGAGTAGGGTTAATTGAGTGATTTAGGTTCATTTTCTTATGCGCATGGGACCTTTATCATATACAGTGTAGTTTCCCATTTTTACTTCACTTGTTGGAATTCTAGCGCGCTGATTGGCTAGAATTCCCATAAGTGAAGTAGTTTTCACTATTCTTGGTAGTCCTTGGCCAGTGCGTACAAAAGTTATATTACGAATTGATTTGCACTTGAAAATGGCGAAGTAAAAATGGGAAATTGGCAACATGTATGATATATAAATATTTTTCCAGAAATGAAGGCATGCGGTGTAAAGAAAAATGAAGTTTATTTCATCACAAAAATACACATTAGTCACATTAATTTCAAATATTGCTTCAAAAGCTATTCCAATATGTGAAGTGTTACTAGTTCCATTATTTAGAGTAGACGTCCAGAAGGTAACTGTACGCCAATTCTATTTGTACACACGTGCAAATATTTCAATATTTTATACAGTTAATTATCAAAATTGCAAAATCAGTATACTTTGGTCTTTTCAAAAGCCTACATTTAATTCTAAATAACTGTATAATGGTCTTGAATTGATGTCCTCAATACATTCCTACGCTCCACTATCCACTATAACATCGTAATATGTTTTTAAACTGTATGATACATATAATATGTATTATGATTAGTAYAAATTGTATTATGTATAGTGTTTTTACTAGTGAATATTTCAGTTACAACTTACGTGAATTTATGTTTTTGTTTATGTTATCGTATACGATACTAATGTTTACGTAAGTTCATATTAATGGTAGGTATGAATTCCTAGATTCATACTAAAGAGTTTCGTCATTTTTAATTGTCCATATTTGGAATCACTTTCCTGTTCCTACGTCATCGTGGTTGACTGTGACGTCATCGTGGTTCAAGTCKATATCAGTTATGGAATTAGCCTCGTCTTCAATTGGGTTTTGATCAGTGTGCATGTATCCATGTACACTATCATAGTCGTTATCCTCTTCTTCCCCGTAATCCTTACCCATCTCAGGGTCTACATCTATGAACGCATTCTCTTGGTTCAAATCCTCTGATTTATCCATTTTCGCCTCAGACGGACTCACTTTGTCAGGGTTGTCGTTACCAGTGTTCTCAACTTTGTCRTCCTTGTGCTTTGATTCGTAGTTTTTTTTAGTCTTTTTAATGGGTTTTAGTCCCTCGACTCCCAAGGGCTTTTCTGTGACCTTTTGTCCATCAGCATGGGTGTTTTTGTCATCGTTTTCAACGTCTCCTTCAGGGTCTTTTTTTGCTTTCTTGGTCACTTTTTTCTCAGTGTTGCTTGGTGGGTCATTTGGCACGAAATCTCTTATAGCATCTGCAAAGAATACTACGGCTTTAATACACTTAAACTTATTGCAAAAACGCATCCCACACTTTTTGCAAGAAACGTCTGCATTGCAAACTATGATAAAACTACTTTAATACACAACTAGAACTGTGTGCACGGGAATAGACCCCTTGCAGTTCGTGGGAATGCAATTCCAACTGGAGGACAAATGAATAGATTCTAGTTCCCAAGAGGGCAAAAATCTTTTGTTTTGTCCTCCAGATGAAGCTGCTTTGACGTCACATGCAAGGGGTCTATACAACAATGTAGCTCTGGTTCATTCGCAAAGGGTGATATTCAAATGAGTATTTCATATTATAAGAGCGTCTCTATGAGTACATAAAGCAAACTTCCATTGTTTTGACACCAAGATGAAAATGTTTTGATGTCAACATACAAAGGTCTATATAAAACATAGTGATAGACATTGATGGCAAAGACTGTCAAGTCAGTGAATAGACTCATGCTTACCTACAAAGACACACAGTAGAAGCAACAACGCGATGCTCGCTAGCTTCATGGTTTAACTCCAGTGGCAAGCTCCACTGTGAATACAAACATTTAACATGATAACCATTAATAGTAGAATTATAATCTTGCCGAAAAAGGGTTTCTATTATAAGAATTTTCATTGATGTTTTGTATACACGATAAGCTAATGCTTCACATGAAAATGCTCTTAATTTACCCACTACGCATGCTCATATAGTTTTTCCTATCCTATCCCACATGGATTAGTGCAATGCAATATTTCTCATCTAATGTTACCCTAGGAAGCTGTTGCAACGTCGATTTTTCTCCATACAGTTCTCTGTGCTACATTCAAACAACTTCAATTCAATTTTGTGTTAAATGGTTTTGATTCAGCTTCAATAACACCCAACGCCTGGCCAAATGCAAAAAATACTATTCGCATTATATTACAAGAGATACCGGGAAAAATCATCGCGGGGTCGTGAATCGTCTCTTATAACATTATCTTTAGTCATGTTGATTTTATGTTATAGTTATTGAAGCTTTTATTTTTCTTACAGGAAACAAATGGTCAATACAAACATCYGTGTACATCCATGGCGATTTTCAGGTATTAAAACTTTATTTTTTTTAAAWAAGCGATGAGAAGGTTGTACTTCAGTCGATATTGCATCGTTTCCCTACCGTTATATGATCGACAACACWGGCTTGAACCTTTCATATGGGACGTCTTACTCATTGTTTAATGTAAAAATCCTTTTGTTTTTATCCATTTTGTTCTAACATTCCCCATAAAAACGCTAGAATGAAGCTAGCCATAAAGCYCTTTGAATTAATATAGGCTCCATCTCAGCAAAATGTATTCAATTAGACCTYGGTAATTCCATTATTTTCTTATTATGTATTTGTCATCTGTTCCTTCACTGTTGAATTCTGATATATACGTATATATATCTACTATACGCGGTCATGATAATTAATACTTGTTATAATGGGAATGCAAAGGATTTTATGAATACACCCTTGATAAAGGTTCTTCAAACTTACCTTGGAATTTTTCTATTTGATCGTAAAMGAAAAAGGACTTCRACAACTGAATCCTTTTGAATAATTAAGATGAAGTTGATAGGACAGCATGCGATGTTTTGCTCTAAACTCTAAACAACCAGTTCAAAGTCATGTTTGTTTTCYTGTGTGCGCAAAACCGTTTATTAAACTGTTGATGTGACAAAAACTCAAAAAACAATTGGTTGTTTTACTATTTCAAAATATAACGAAGTCGTTGTAAAAATCAAATACGGGTKCTGTGCGCCTAGGAATTTCAATGTATATGCAGCGATTGCGTGGTGAGCGTGCATTTAGGGCCACAAATTTAGTAATGTTAGTTTGTTTTGTGTTACACTTTCAAGACGAGGCTGCTTTTCCCTTCCTTTCTTTCTGTTTTCCTTTTTTCTTTCGTTTTTCCTTTCTTCCTCTCTTCTTTGCTTCTTTCAAACTTCCATTCATCCCTCCCTCCAAAGAATATTAGGAAAATGAAATCACCTGACATCTGGCGGTCCGTAATATGTTTCATGGTGTAAAAACCGATAACAACTAGTTTTTTGTTAAGATTTTATTGAAGAGATTCGATCACTATGCCATGCTAATGTTACAGCTTGTCTTATATAGATATAGCTTTACCATAATTTCAATATTGTATCTGTTAATCTATAAGATGTAAGGTGTTATTCCCCTTAGGTGGTTTATAATAAGTCGTAAATCACTTTGATTAGAACTCCAACTTACATTTAAATGAATTAATACAGACAGACCCACATTACTTATACGTTTCATCAAGGTAATCATCTTAGATTCATTATCAATTAAATCCGAATTAAATCCGAAATAAGTGCGAATTGAATCCGAATTAAATCCGAATATTTTACGAGTCGGATTAAAATCCGACCCGAACCCAATCCGACCTGGTATTTATTATCTACTATTTTCTACAGATCTATGTCTAGTTACTATCCATACAAACTGGAAAGATTTTTAGTATTATATAATGTCATTTAGTACGGCTTTCTACAGCAATGTGGGGGACAGAATGCTGGACAATATTGTCCGACTCGATTCCTACTACATGGACGACTACAGCCTGCTGGCCCTTGCTTTCCAGACGGGTTTGGCCCAGTAGGGTTAGTGGAAGGTGGATTAGGGTAAGGAAATGGGACCGGACCGGGGACGGGGACGGGGTTTGGGTATGGGGAAGGCTGTGGATAGGGTGRTGATACTGGTGAGGGGTATTGTACTCCGTATGGTGAAGGTGCTGGGTAAGGTGAGGTTCCTGTTGTACCATGAGGGTTGTAGCCGGCACAGCATGATGAACTACACTGAGTGTTGCATGATGTACTGCATTGACTTGAACATCGAACTCCTGTAGAATATAACAAATAGTTTTAGTCATCATCGAACATCATTCATTGAGCTATCATCATCATCATCAAAAATCATCAGTATCATCATCACCCAACAAACATCATCACCATCATCATCATTATTATCATCACCATCATCATCATCATCATCATCACCATCATCATCATCATCACCATCACCATCATCATCATCATCATCATTATCATCATCACCATCATCATCATCATCATCATCATCAAAAATCATCATCATCATCATCGTTCATTTTACTGCCGTCCAACATACTCATTGACCTTAAGATAGTTCTCAGCTCTATACCATTACCGGGATTTTCAATTCAATATTTAAAATTCRAACGGGCCTCTCTCGTATAGTAGTTTTCGTAAGCGTACTGGTGTTGTCCGTGTTGTGTTACTAGCAATTATCCGTGATGCTCACAAAAGACTGCTCTCACGTAGATCATCTGATCACCCTACCTATCCTTAGCCTGACTGTCAGGCTCCTMCAAATCCCCACCCCTCCCTCTCCCGAAAGAGCCTGATAAACAGGCTGACCTATCGTCATATTTTCTCCCCATTTTTTCATATTCTCTCCATTTTTTCGTCCTTGYTATGTGTGAAGTCTACATTGTATTGCTTAGAGTAATACATTATAGTAACTTACCTCCACATACAATGGTCACACATGCGATGGTAGCATTAGCGGTATTATTAGGTGCAAGATGGTTACCATTTGCATCAAGGTAATCTTGTAGAGGTTGAGCAGGACTGGGATCTGATCCTGATGGTTCTTTAAGATAGACACTGACATAGTAGCCACTGTCCGATCCAATCCTGTTTCAAAGAATCAGTTATATACAAATAGAACTGGCAAAGTCTATCTTAAGTAATAACTAACTATCAACTTCAGTTGTTCGTTATATAGATGTGCTCGTAATAAAGAGGTGGTCGTGAAATAGAGGTGGTCGTAATATAGAGATGGTCGTGATATAGAGTTGGTCGTGATAAGAGTTGGTCGTGATAAGAGTTGGTCGTGATAAGAGTTGGTCGTGATAAGAGTTGGTCGTGATAAGAGTTGGTCGTGATAAGAGTTGGTCGTAAAATAGAGTTGGTCGTAAAATACTCACATTGAAGAATCTCCAACAAAATCAAGTTTATGGTCGCTCAATGCTGACATCTATGATAACAACATGGATAACGTTTAGAGTCAAAATAGACAATATATGAAATGCACGGTCGCTTCCAAAAACATCACAAGTGCGCACATGAAAAGGAGTTATTTTAGGGGCAGAGATCTCCACTTATATTTTTGACCGAAAATGTGCCGTTTGTATGTTAGCGATTGCGATATTTTTTAAAGTATCCTCTTTTCTCAGAAATCTATTGTCATTTCTGTATTCATCAGCATCATCGTTATTAATAACATATTAATCATCATCACAATGCGAGCAGCTTACTCTTTTTTTAATAAGAGCAACGAAATCCGTCAGTCCTGGGACGTATGTYTTCTTGMTTCCTTGTTGWGGTTGAATATGAGATCGTTTGGCTTTTGGAACKTCTGATTTCTTTTTACCRTAAGGGAATCCATAGGGGTTGCTTTGGTATGAACCATATGGTCCCACGGGAGGGTACCCCCCTTGGTATCCACCAGCACTGTACCCTGTATAWGGAATGGTGTTGTAGTATGGGTTTGTAGGCTGYGTRGGTTGTTGGTTGGATTCGATGAGAATCGTTATTTTGTATGTGATTGGAGCTGTTKAAAGAAAAMAAWAGCTACTGATTAGATTATGAATCACTTTTGACAAGAGGTATTGGATGRGYTCATTACCTTGTACRGGTTTTCTACACAGATAAGGCAAAGGTGCTGCACATTTATTGTCTGTCCATCCTGTCTCATTCATTGTATTCTTAATAGCCACRCAGTTTTCTCCATTACCACTTGGTTCAGTAGGTAAAAACGCATGGAAGGTRGCTGATCCTCCATCTGTCCATTGATATCGACTCTCCTGCAACCGATCGTTGAATCCAATCCATGCTTCGATATCTGATCCATTTCCCCTCCCTGTAGTAGACGGACAGAATTTTTTCAAATGACTGTATTTGCATTTAATGGTATAATATTATTACTGAGTTATACAGTAGAGTGCTCGCACTTAAAGCGTGAAACAAATAGTACTAATTACTACTAAATAGTGTTTATAATACAATAGGAAACAAAGAAATTTGTATAATTTATCACCTATTTTGTAGTATTTATATTTCACGCATTTAGTGCGAGCACTCTACTGTTAGAACGAAGATTGTGTTTTGTCGTAATAACAATGAAAGGCATGCTATACAAAAATAAAACAAAGATGTCCGATAGAACAATAGGCATTGTTCCCCTCGGTTTTTTTTGTTCTCTCACTAAATAAATATAATAAACTTTATATCTGCTCCCAAAGGGCTCTTCCGCAAAAATAAACGTATGTACAATGATATGAAAACTATAATAAATATAAGATATAATAAATTCATTTAAAAATTGTATAAAAATGACTCTTAGCCTTAGATTTAGAACTGCGTAAGGTTTCACATTTATTTCTCTCACTCAATTCCAAGCTTTATYCTGGTAGTATTCGAYCCTTAATATTCCTTAAATCAAGTCTAACACACCTGATAAAAACCCGCTTAAAAATATGTTAGTTTCCTTGGTATCAAGTGAAGCCAGAGCAGCTGTACTCTCGGCRCAGCCTTGAACAGCWCCRCACCATGATGCMGGYGTCTCCTTATACAAGTAGCATGACCGAGCATAGTAACTGAACCCTGGAGGGCACTCTAGAGAACAATAATCAAACATACACAATGAATAACATCCACGCTGTTAACAATAGTGGAGTCCTWATAAGGAAATATTACCCATATTTGTATTTAACTGTTGAGGTAATTAAAGATGGACGACTTAAKGCCTTGTCAATGTTGATGCTTTTTGGTAGCGTTCCAGTGTTGATTTTCGACTACAAGGAAATGAAAAACTATAGCAAAACGCTATGATAACGAAGTGTGGACGAGGCATCAAGTGTCCATCTTGAATAATTSAACGATGCAAAAATGGAAAATATTTCCTYATTTGGATGTTTGTCATATCATCTAAAGCTATAAAATTCATAAGATGCTGTATGTAAATGCAAAAAATCAATTATACATGTATTGTAAACCACACATTACCTTGTGAACTTCCATCGGTTGCATCTAAAGGAAATGAATATCATTTAGTAACTATAGTCAATCCTTCAATAGCTAAACTATACKATATGATGGATTATATCATCTTTTAAATTATGATAGGAAAGATCCYTTCTTAGAATCATCATCGGTAATCTTCATCTTTTCCACGGTTCCCTGCGSCATCTTGAAAGGTAACGGTGCCATTGCATAGAAAGGAGAAGACTGGCGAGCATGCATTAGTAGAAAGCTTGTTTTTTTCACACTCATCGACGATTATTATTATTTTTATCACTTCAAGCTCACTGGTTGTCAGTTCTCTGTAAAGGCACAACTACCTTTGAATATGGCACGGGGAGAGCCAAGGAATATTTCTGTGTAATGAGACATTGGTGAAGCAAAAGAACAGTTCATTGATACCTTTGACCGGTGATATGTTCTCTTTTGCTGTGAATGTATTATCAGATGGTGGGTCAAACAGTACAATAATGTAACTATCACTGTCGTTCTGACTAGTTTTAGCGATGCCGACGTGGGTTGATTCCTTCCACACAAGCTGAACAAATTCAGAAGTCTTGGGTGTTATCATAGAACTTGTCCAATCATAATCCTTGACTGTCTCGTACCACCTTATAAGAAGAAATAATGACTACTTAAACTACTTAAACTACTTAATGCATACCGTAGCTACTCGAATAGACGCCGCGGAGTTTATTTCATTTTTCACGAACCAGCTGCGGCGTTTATTC